CTTGTTTCTTTTTCTAGAATTATTTATTTAATTCCCCTTGTTACTATTATTATTATTATTATTATTATTTTAATTTGACCAGAGAGAGAAAGGGAAAGGAAAAAGCAAGCTGCCAGGTCCAGGACTTGAACCACGGTTGGCCATGTAGGAGTCCAGCATCTTAGGAGTCCACTACACTACCTGCTGGCCTCACGGCATGTCTGTCAAGTCCCTGGGTCTGGGACTTGAACTGCACAGCCACCATGTGGAATCCAGCTGCCTTAACCGCGTGACCTCTTGGCTCTCAGCATTTTGGAGTTAGACTCCTAGGTTTGGGCTCAGGGACCTGAGGGGAGAGTGGAGAGGTCCCTGGGCTGCTCTGCTTAGATTGTTAATACCATGCTCCCCCACCGCCCTGGAGGGCCCCTAACCGAGTGGGGGGCAGGGGAAGGTGACAGACTGTACCTCTCCAGACCTGGACCCTCTGGAGCTCAGCACCCAGCCAGAGCTCTCCGTGCCCCTCAATGGCAGCACTGCTGTGAACTGCTCGGCGCAGGGCCTGCCCACGCCCACTGTCCGCTGGACCAAGGTGAGGACAAGCGCTTTCGCCCTTGGCCCCTGCACTGCACCAGCGACCCCCAGCCTCACTCACAGCCCTGCCCGTCCTCTCCCTCTCCCCTCCCAGGACTCAGTTCCCCTGGGGAACGGCCCCACGCTCTTGCTCAAGGCCATCACCTTTGACTCCGCCGGCACCTACACGTGTGAGGCCTCCATGTCCACGGTCCCCCTCCTCAGCCAGACCCAGAGCTTCAAGCTGCTGGTCCAAGGTTCGGGACTGGGGGCAGGGTTGACGATGACGGTGGGGGCTGGGAGGCCAACGGGACAGGTCTGGATGCACCCCCTCTCTGCTCTCTCCCTCTAGCCTCTTAAGTTTCTTTCTTTCTTCCAAGAGAGACAGACAGAAGGGGGATGAGAAACAGGCTCCCCCGACGGCGTCTTGGCACCGCGACCCACCCACGTCTCGGCCGATGGTGGGCGCACACGCGTGCCCAGTGTGCTCAGGGCGGTCCTGGGAAGAGAGCATCTGTTACCCCAGTGCCACCGCTGACCCGTGTCTCTTTCTCTTTATCTCTTTCCTTCCTTCCTTTCCGGGCCACGTTGCCCACAGGCTCACCAGAATTAAGGCCAGAAGAGACGCAGCCCAAGGCGGAGGGCAGCTGGAGAGAAGGGGACGAGGTCGTGCTGACCTGCTCTGCCCGCGGCTACCCGGAGCCCAAGCTCACCTGGAACCAGCTGGGCGGCACAGTAAGGGCCTTGTCCCCCAACCCGACCCAGCAGGACCCGGCACCCCTGCACCTCTCGGCCGCCGCCCCCTCCCTGACCCAGCCATCGGTCTGCTCCTGCTTCTGGGGGACTGGACAGCCTTCCGCTGCCCGCCCCAGCCCTTGTCCCACGGGCTGAGCCTGACCCGAGCCTCTGCAGCCGGCAGCGCCAGCCCCCGGGAGGCCGGGCTGGGTGAGCAGCTCCCTGACCCTGAGAGTGACCAGCGCCCTGAGCCGGGACGGCGTCTCCTGTGAGGCCTCCAACCCCCACGGGAACATCCAGCACGTCTTCCACTTCGGCACCGGTCAGTAGCCGCCCCAGGGAGAGAAGCCTGGGCGGTGGGGTGGGCCGCGCCCCGGCGGCTGACAGGCCCCCTCTGCCCTGGCCCCACAGTGGCCCCCCAGACCGTGCAGGCCGGAGTGGCTGTCATGGCTGTGGCCGTCAGCGTGGGCCTCCTGCTTCTCGTGGTGGCGGCCTTCTACTGCATGAGACGCAAGGGGCGCCGAGGCTGCTGCCGGCGC